TTCGACTGTCGAAGGTTTAAAGTGCGGAATCATGAGAGCAAGCACGTTCATAGTTGTGTGCGTTGTGGGTTATTGTGATACTCGGTCGCGCAGTCCAGAGCAGGCCTTATTCGAGGATGTACTCTAGCCTTTGTGCAATCAAGCGCGAACTGCAAAGCAGCAGTGATGTTCCAGATGAGCTGGTGGCTAGTTTCCAGTTCATTCGCCTCTTCTGTAAAACCTTGTAGAGCAACGGATCTCGACAAGGTTCAATGGCCATATTTAGTGTCGGGCCGCACTCGCCACGTCACAACGCTATCCACAGATATTTGTGGTGTTTTGCACGGAGAACCCTTGCCGGGAGTTGAACCCACCACATCCTCGAGCGCTGCCGCTGATCGTCTGCGACCACTTATTCGGCCGGCTGAGGCCCGCCTTATTCACGGTTAGCCGCGAGGTGACAGCCATATTGAGCCCAGGAGTTTCCTCAACTCCAAAAATCATGGCGGAACCTACATTCCCAAAAACCGATGGGGTCATTCTGTCGGGGTCGGGAGCCTTATATCTTTTGAGATAATTTATTTCTCGGATAAGCTCCATTTCAGATGGAGGACTGATGTCAACTGGCAGTATTTGCACAGTTGAAGCGGGTATAGGGAGGTCTTGTGCTGACGAGGGCCAGCTGAACTGAGCCTTAAAATGTTCAGCCCATCGATCTAGACGGCGTTGCTGAATATAAATCAGTGTGCCGTCGAACTCCTTAATTACCCCACGCCTGCTTTCCTTGGACTTGTGCTCCTAATAAATGGGAAAAGATTGCGACTGTTACCGATAGCCACAGACTTCTCCATCTCTCTACACTTTCCTACCCACCACTTCTCCCGGTTATTCCTAAATCTCTTGATGAGCAGCGTTTAAGGGATTTGCGTGTTTTATCGTACTTTGAATCCGAAGGAATGGCTTTGCGAGCGTCCAGCAGGGCAACCGGGGTCGGAGAGATCCATCGTTTTTTATTTGATCGTGGGTCGGAATCTGCCGTTGTTTTCGTTGACATTTGGTTGCTTCCTTGATTGATGTTGTCAATCCGATTAGCTGGAATTGCATGCTGTCCACCAAGAAGCCTTTCTGATTCGTCCAGTGATCCTACTTGAGCATTGAAGTCTCTGATGACTACTACGACGTCCGTTGATCGAACACTTTGGAGAAGTTGCTAGAGGTCTTTGTAGAATTCGTCCTTCATTTCTGGTGAACTGCAATCCGTCGGTGCATACGCGGATACGACGATAAGAATCGGCACTTCCTTCTGTAGCTGTTGACCCGTATTGAACCATCCAGACGTACAAGGCAAAGTCTGCTGTTAACCGGGATCCAATCGAAAAGTGAACGCTCGGCCTTGACACTCAGAGCAATCTCAACACCACCAACACCACGAGCTTCAGATGCCGAATCGCCTGACACACGGAGAGTAAGGCGTGAGGAGGAGGTTGGATCAAGAGAACGCACCAAGTAGGGTCTTGTATGCGTGTTTCGGAGACACAACACAAATCTAAATGGAAGGTTTCAAGGTTTCTAGCTAATACAGCCTGTTGACCAATCTGGTAAAGTGTGCGGACATTAAATGCGGTTAAGTGAAAAGGGGAATTTGGTATCCAAGATCTGGTAGCCTTTGAGTGGTTGGCCTCATTAGTTGAACACTGAGTGATATCCCATGGGTGGCACAAACAGGATGCATCTTCCAAGGTTTGCGAGTGAGAAGAGAAAGTGTAGAATTGAAAAGAATGGTTTTCCAGATAGGTGCCTAAGACTTTGGGGCACGGCATACTTCGCGGTCGCCCATATCAACAAAGGGGTTTTTCTTTGGGAACCCTAATCTGAGCCTTTGACCCACAAGGCACTGGGACGTTTATCCAACGCGGAAGCGTAAACGAAGCATCCGTGTGGGAGCTTCGAGAGACCTTTCACGCAAGATCCTCGGGTTTTCGGTTCAGTGTTTTGTTTGCAGGTGCATCGGTTGACAGTCCGCTTTTCGGGATCGATTTTTAGCCTCATGCACCCAATGAGACAAGCGGAACGTGGACGGGACAGCACTTTATCGGCTGAGGGCTTCCCGGCTTGGGTGGGCGGTAGCTGTCCAGTGAAGTGCGAATACTTCTCCCACCGTCAGGAGGAAGCCCCAGGTACCGCGCTCCCACGTCAATCTGGCGGGGTTTTTGACCCGTAAACTGCCCCTCACCGTGTTTATTTGCTGGAGCGACCTCTTCAGGGGCTGAAGTGGATAGTCAAGGGAAGCCAGGAGGTGCCCAAGCAGCTGGCCTTGTGAGACTGATCTTCGTCTCTCCTCTACCCATTGACCTTTCAGGCATGATTGGATCTGCAACTGTGAGAAGCCATCCTGTGTAGCTCGCAGTGTCATGGAGACACGTAAGCCATCACACCACACCAAGGTGCAGTCTCGTAATGGCAACCATACTGTATCCCCTATAAATCCAAAATCATCTTTTCTATGTTGAAATCAAGCTTTCGTTCACAGGTGAGTTGAAATATTTGTGGCGTAGGATTGATTAACAGTTATTAAGTCACACCCGCGCTCACTAGTACTCATCCAACCGTCATAATATCTAATCGCACGGCGAAGCAATCTCATTGCTGTTTTGCTATAGAGTTCTAGGACTACTCTTTTTTATTCATTCTGTAGCTTGTTAACTTGGACTCATTGTTTACAAACTGAGACTAGGTACAAGACGAAGCTTTATAAAGGCTTTGCAACTGATAAACAATTGATTTTATCCGAAACAACTTTGAAGTTATTTCCACATATGCACTTTCATTACCTCATGAGATCTCTCATGCTACAAATTCTTATCCCTTCCCCCAATCTCATCGGCGAATCCACAGGAAAAGTCAAAATTTCTGTCTGAGCTTAGCGAACAAATTTCCACATTTCCGGATGATGTTTGCCGACACAAAGTTCTTCCACATTTGCTTAATGGTTTACGTTATGGTTCTGCTGGAATCGAGGCCCTCATTCCTGTTCTCCGAATCATACCACTGCTTACCGAATCCGAGTTTGAAGCCGCAGTGCTTCCTTGTCTTGTCCAACTATTCGCATCTCCGGAACGGGCCACGCGTGTCCGACTCCTTGAGCAATTACCCAATTTTGTACAAAATGTGCCCCCTAAAGTGGTTGATAGTCAAATTTTTCCGTCGGTTTCAACTGGATTTTCGGACGCTAATCCATTGGTGCGTGAGGCTACTGTACGGGCTATGGTTCACCTAGCTCCAAAGTTGACGGGGAAATTTCTTAATGAGGCGTTACCCCGTTACCTCATTGCCCTACAGGTAATTTGCCTTAGTCCTGTTACTGATCCATTGCCATAGTCGCACTTTACTTATGGAAACTCCTTTTGACATGTTTTATAAATGAACATGCTACTTATGGGTAGTATAAATGATACCACAGCAATACGTTTCGTATTGCATCATGTTGCACTGTAACTTGCGTCACCACCTGAGAATACATTTTTGAAAAAGCGCCACGTATCCACTGCTACACAGAACATACTAAACCCGGAAAAGTTTTCTACGAACAACAAAAAGACATTTCATAGTTCAAGGTTAAGAAGAAATTCACTTATGTATAAACGTGTAATACAGCTGAATTCCTGTAGGCGTTTGTACGAAATGGCATTTGTCGAAATCCAGAGCGTTCTGAAGGAAGGTAGCGACGTATCAGTGCTGCGTGCAATGAGTTATAAAGATCTATGGGTATACTTTCCACAAAAAAGACATAATTAGTTATATAATAATCTGAAAGTTTCACATGTCTGTTGATCCTTAGACTCCGTCGTAAGACTTTGAAGTCTTGTTTTATTAAGTTAGGGTAAATAATTGGAAAACAATTAAGTTAGAGGGGGGATATAGACTGCTATACAGCGGTATAAATATCACCGGCGTGTAAACAAGCATGGTGGCCATGCAAAAGTGGAAATAACTGACTTGGAAGTTCCAACTGTCATGAGCTTTCCGAATTGAAATGATAGGTACCGCAGTTATGGACGTGAGTTGATCAACAAAGATTATTATCTGTGACAACATCAAGATGTTTAACAGAGTTCACCCTGGATAAAGGATTGCTCTCTTTCACTGAGGGGTCTGTCAAGAATGAGGACTACGCAAAACTATAAACATTCAACACATGTGCTGGGATTTAAACGTAGCCTCGATTGGGAGAAGTGAATTTGAGAAAGATTATGAGTGGAAGAAATTAGGTCGGAGAAAGAACAAATAGGTTGTCGCAATACAGCATAATCGCATATTTCAAAACACATGCAGGAGAAAAAGCACAAATGTACGTTGAAGATAAGTCTGGGGATAGCACAATTCCTTGAAGAACTCTAGGGTTATCGACTAAGAATTGGAATGAAGCCTGTACAAATCTAGTCGTTTGCGCTATCAGCAAGATAGTTGCATACCGAAGCCAACTGCTGCTTGGGACATTTAAACGATTCCCGTTTTTCTAAGAACATTGACCGAGGACTATACCTTTTCAACTTCAAGTGAATCCAACCAATCGCACTTCATTGGAAACCCCACAAGATTATTGGTGTTTGGGCCGTCAAATGTCACCGGGTCTGTCTAAACTCCGTCCAGTCCGAATGAACTCACTTCCCCGTAAACAAACAAAAGTACATTTTTAGTGGGTTACCGAGCAAGGTTGAATGTTTTGGGAAAAGGGTGGGTGGGTCGAGGTGGGCCGTTCTCCCCCCGCCCCCCACACACACACCCGTTCCACCCGGAAACGTTATGTTCGTGATCGTTGATCGAGTGTGCGTAATAGATACGAATGAACAAACCCCGAGTTAATTGACCTCTGTCGGTCCGGTAAGGAAGCGAATCACGTCAAGATGGATCGATAAGTCAGTCACCATGCCCAAACGTGAATGTGAGAATGATTCTTTGTGTGAGTGGAGTCAGTCTAAGCCCACCCAATGAGCAGATTCTATTGAGCCCGAGTTTCTCTCCAATAAAAGCGATTCCTTTGAATCAAATGCGATTGCTCACGTATTTCTGACATTGATACTTAACAACGGTAATAATGGTGACAGAAGTAACAGCATTTCCCCTGAATAGTAATATCGCATTCAAATCTATTCACTAGCTAGCAGAAATTGTGTTTTTCTCTGTCATTCCCCGATTGATTAATGCATTCAATCCACAATGTTAATGGCTGAAATCTTGCGGCATCTCCCTTCGCTACTCAACTTCATCGCATTGTTTCTTATCTCTAATGAATCATTCCTCAACCCGTCGCATCTTTCCACATACTGGTTATTTTTGTGCGATCTCTGTACGGGGTGCTCCATGAGGTATTAAGTAGAGGTCGGTAAAATATTCTACCCACGGTTGTCTTAATATTGAATGTTGAATAAGGGAAGAGGTTCAGCGGCATCGTGGATGCCACTTTGAAGTATATTTCCCGTATGTGTTACCACGAAAGATTGTGCAAACGAGCTACCTATTACAAAGTTGGAGAGCAGTGACATTTTTTTCTACTCTGAACTGAGTTGGGCGCTGGTGTACACATTTCACATTATTACTCAACTTTTCTGTAGTCACTAGTGTCTTCCGGATTATATTCATTCCGCTCTGAACTAGCCCAGTTTCTAGTAATTAGTGCATTTTTTCGCAGATACCTGCAAGTTTTTATTTTATCGGATTAAAATGATTGATTTTTTCGCACAATTACCGAAAACTCAAATTTCAGTCAAATCAAATCTGTTTTGTCATCTTTCGTTTAGTCAATCTTGCAATGATTAATAACTGTGAGATGCTTTTAACGAATAGCGAAAGGTCGAAACGGAGCAATCGGCTTTCTGCATCAGTTAAGTATCATGCCAAGTGTGCATTTCAATGTCAGAAATACGTGAGCAATCGCATTTGATTCAAAGGAATCGCTTTTATTGGAGAGAAACTCGGGCTCAATAGAATCTGCTCATTGGGTGGGCTTAGACTGACTCCACTCACACAAAGAATCATTCTCACATTCACGTTTGGGCATGGTGACTGACTTATCGATCCATCTTGACGTGATTCGCTTCCTTACCGGACCGACAGAGGTCAATTAACTCGGGGTTTGTTCATTCGTATCTATTACGCACACTCGATCAACGATCACGAACATAACGTTTCCGGGTGGAACGGGTGTGTGTGTGGGGGGCGGGGGG